GAAAGAGTGGTTGAGATGAAATAATCTAAAATATATTTCCCAAAAGCACTGCATGGTTGCAAGCCGAAACCTCAATGCTAAAAACTGACCATGGAAAAACACGTGCCCTCTTCTTTGGTTTCACTACTAGTAATACATAATACTCAACTAGAAAACTTTGCAGAACACATTATATTTTTTATTTTATCAACAGAAAATAAGTGAGTCAAGTGGATTGTTGATATCTGAGAATTGTATTTATTATTAAAATGTGTATAACTTTTGGCATAGACTTAAGTATTAGGAGATTGAAACACTGCAAAATTTATGTCAAGTATTATCCTTACTGAATGAGGAAAGTTTTAATTGGTTCATGATCTACCACTGAAAATTTCTCAGTTAGGAAGCTGCAGGAAACTCGATTCGTACAACTCTGTTTGATTTATTTTTAATATAGATGTATGTGGTTGTAGCATTCGTGGTTTTTCAAATTTTCAAATTATTATGGATTTTTTTTTTCTTTTTGAAATGTGTATATTGATAATTACTCATCATTGGCCTTCCAGATGCACATTTGTTACCTGTTGATTTGCCAGAAATATTATCGTTGACAGGCAGGTAGAGATGAATTTTTTGTTTTTATGTTCAATAATTCTTTGAATGTTTGTGATCCTCAAGTCATATTACTATCATGTTTGCTTTTGTTAGGAACTGTGTGGTTATTGGTTATCTTATATTATTATTTCATTCAGTCAGGGAATTGAAAAGATAGCATGGGATAATTCAGGGGAGCGATTGGCTGTGTCTTTTAAAGGTGGAGATGCTATGTACAGAGGTCTGATTGCCGTATATGATACAAGAAGGACTCCTCTTATATCCACGTCATTAATGTGAGTTCTTAGTTGAAAACGGTCCAATTACTGGTGCATCTGTTATTTTATATCTATTTTTTTAATGTTGAATTTTTTGCGTTAAACATTGTATGCTTTGCCAAATATTCTTTTGAAAATATAAATCATTTGAAAAGATTATTTTTCCAATTATATGTTTCAGTGGATTTATAAGAGGACCTGGAGACAATGCAAAGCCAATTTCATTTTCATTTCACGGGAAGTTTAAGCAGGGACCATTGCTTTCTGTGGTAAGTCTCCATTGCGTTTTACTGCTTTCTTTATTTCCAAGTCCTTTTGTTATAAAATAAGTTAATACTAGAAATATGCCTGTGATAGCATAATTAATTATAGATGTTCATTCTTTGTACATTCTTCCTCTGCCCTAAATTCTATAAAAGAAAAAAGAACATCTGATTAAAGTATTAGTCTTGGTAGATAGTGTTGGGTTCCGATCATACGCTTCTAGATGTCCTATTTGGCATTAATTCTTGCTGTACACATTTGTTTTGTAATTTTTTATTCATTCTGCAGTGCTGGAGCAGTGGGTTTTGTTGCACTTACCCCCTCTTATTTCGCTCTCACATGCTTCCATAAGGAATATATCTGAGGAATTTTGTTGGTTGTACACAATATGGAGCCAGCTGACTTTGATCTAAGGTCATTTATTCAATTTTGTGGGATTACTTATGTTTTTCTCCCCGTGAAAATAGGGATTCAAACAGTGAATACACATAAAGTTTGCCCATAATGAATCGGGTATTTATCCATCACGAGTTTGGGTATAGGTACCACAGTTTTATTGATATGGTATTGTATTATCCAATCTTATTTGTATTTTAATTTAATGAAGTTATAAGTATATTTATTATATTTTACAACTAGTATGATTTTTTAAGATAAAATTTTAATAAACCTAAAGAATTCCATTTGTAATGTATATAATTAAGAATTGAAGTATCTTTTTCTTTTTCATTTAAGTTATATATTTTGCTTTTAATGATTTTTTATTATTGTTTTTCATAATTTATATTACTATTATTATAAAATTCATATTTTATTTTGTTAAATAAAAGCATGAGGCTACCAAAGTTAATTACTTTTACCCAAGCTTGTTTGTACGGGAAAAAGTTGTCTGGTGTACATTTGAAATATTGGTCTTAAATGCATAGTCATGTATCAAGTTTAAGTTTAGCATGATAGACAATGTTATTGTGTACCTCGGCGGTGTTGTATGCGTTGTGGTGTCGCAATCTTGACACGTTAGAAGTTAGACAGCCCATAATCCTTCAAGTGCCAACCCACACTTTGCTATGTTATGTTAAAAAAAAATAGATTAAAAAAAATTTAAAATCTTGACATTATAATTTTATTAAATTCACTAATTGTTCAAAACAGTTTCTTCCTTTATTTTTCTAGTTATTATTATTTTATCCTTGTGCAATGCTATTCTACGCTGTTAAATGATTATTGATAATTTATTTTAAATTATTATATTTAATTTATAAATAAATATGATAAATACACATTGAAATTGAAAAAAAAATTTAATAAAAATTTTTCAAAAGAATTTTCATAAATTAAACCAAACATGCTCTACTTGAATAAAATATCCAAAAAGAAATTCAGAAAAAATTTTTTTCATAAAATGGTTCTACCCAAATAGAGTAAAATACATTGATATTTTTTGAAGTTGTGTGAAATTGTATAAATATTCTTTATTTATTTTACTTTTAGAATAATCTTTCTTAATTTTTTGAAAATATTACACTATTTCTTATACATTACCTTAATTATTTGATAACATTATATTGTGACTCTTACAAGTAAAGTTATTTTAAACTTTAAAAATAAGTACAAAATATTAGTATAATTTCGTAAAATTTTAAGAAGTATTAATGTAATTTGAAACGATTCATCATGGTCCCTACATTGTGAAATCGTCTTAATTATGTTAATTAACTAAGAGAAGCTACTAAACTAGATAACAATATAAACATGTATATAAAAGTTTATAATAAAATTATAGAACTTTATGCAAAATAAAGTACTATGTATATAGAGTTATCCAAATAATAGTAATATTCTCCTAGTGCTGGTTAAGCACATTTTACCAGTTACTCAAAAAGTTAATCTTAACACTCGGACAAAACTCCAGCATCCAATAACAGTCCATTCCAACCTAACCCTGAACTACTCCCATACACAGTATGATCATCGCAGTCCATTCACATGGAAACAGAAGGGTAAACTAAAGTTCAATAAATAACCATACAAGCATAAGAATAAGCATCTATGCTACACCATCATCAAAATCGTCAATCATTTTCATAGAGTCAAACAATGCACTCTATCATACAACAATCATGCAATAAATGTAATTCATGAAAGATATCAATACATATCAATCATCTAATGCATCGTCACGCATTCACCTAGAAGATCTCCCTAACAATAGAGTAATATAAGTAACATCTCATCCTACCAAAATTATCCCGACCACTTTTATGCCCGAATTGCTGTGCTGGGTCATCAACAAACTGAGATATCAAATCTCCCCAAGTGTTTACTTAGATAGAGTCACTTACATAATTAGAAGTTCGGTTCCACCGTCAAGAATATCATAGTTGGGTACATGCTTACTAAGACCTTGACATGATTAGGAAATGGTTGCCTCTGTTGAATGCACGCCTGACGCCAAGAACACGCGCCCGACGCAAATTCAAACAGCAACCCCAAAACCCATAAAATTCCATAAAAAACTTGAAAATTAGAAGAATTCCACAACATGCAAGCCATACAACATGATACCCAATCATCATACAATCTAGAAACACACTCAGATCCTACATGCACACACCTGGTGCATCAAAATCGTCAAATTCCCAAAAATGACCCGAAACCTCAAAGTTGAGAAAATCAATAAATTCAGCCATTGATTCCCCAAAATCATGCACCAATTGAGTTTCTAAACTCACATGTAACCAAACAACCTAAATTCTAGTTTCCTTCACATGAAGATTGACTTAAAATAGCTAAGAAATGAGAAGAGGAAGAATTTTCCCTGAAACCCGATCCACAGACTTCAATTCTCCAAAAACAAGCTTCCTACCCTGAATTTTATGAAAAGACAGAAGGGATTAGTGATCTAGAAAAAAAAAATCAAATAGGGAAATTTGGTAGCAAAAGGAGTTTACGAATCCAGAGTCCTTCTTTCTAAAACTTTCTTTGAGAATGAACTTATAAGGCTCCATTTTTAGAGAAAACCTTATATACTCTTATCTCTAGCATTTACTAAACTCTGCAATCAACTTACCACATTACATAATTTAGCTAAATTTTTAAAAATTTACTTGCACAAGATAATTTTTCATATTTAATATACAGAATGAAAATATATTTACTTTTTATAATTGAGCATTAATTAATAGAGTGCAAATATTTTCCCGATCAATGTTTTAGTATTTTGTTTTTTGTCGATCCATTGAGCATGTCTTGTAACCCAATTTTTATCTTGTCTTCCCCTCATGTCAATGTTGTGCAGGTTATCCAAATTATTTGGTGGAGAAGGGATATCCTGGAAGAGACGAAATTGCAATTTCACTCTATCAGATTGGTGTCATTCAACAATTGCAAAACAAATAATGGAGGTGCATGATGTCCATAGCAGAGCATCTCTATATGCTTGCATCGATATTGCTGTTTGCAATACTCCATATGGAGCCCATAAAAACTACAAAAAAAATTAAACTTCTTTAGTTAACATATTATGCTAAACAAAAGAAAATGAAAAAATTAATTAAACTTTGATTTTAAAGAGTTACCTGATCATTCTGAATATGATCAAACCTTGATCTATATCCAACAACATCATTATGAGGTACATTTTGAAAGTTTAAAACTCTGCCCCCGCTCCATTTACAAACTAGAGGGAATGTTGCTGGTAACCTGGAAATAGGCGCAATATATGGCATGCGATGCCATGCCCAAGACTGTAACAGAGATGCACAACCACCCATTGTTTTGCTACTAACATTTGTAGCTCTACACATTTCCCTATATAACATAGCTAAACAAGTCGACCCCCAACTATATCGTCTTGTTCTTCTAAGATTTATTAATAAAGATAAATACATAAGATGTACCTTATTGCCTGTTTTGTCAGGCATCAAAACACCTCCTATTAAACCTAATATATATGATCTACAATGTGCATCAAGTTGTTCTTGAGATGGCTCCTCTGGTAATTCTAACATATTATCTCTTAACCACTTTAACTTAATCATAGAGCCAATTAGTGACTCACCTTTAACTGGCATGATTCCGAGATAGGTGGAGCACATTTCCTCCCAGTCATATAATGTTGGGCCAATGACTGGTAAACCATCAACTCTTAAGCCAAGTTGAAGTGCAACATCCTCCAGTGTTATGGTGCACTCTCCAGTTGGAAAATGGAATGTATGAGTCTCAGGTCTCCATCTTTCAACCAAAGCTGTGATTAATGCGTGATCCACTTTCAGATGTCTGAGCTTTGCAACCCCAGAAAAACCCACTTCCTCTAGTATAGGAACAATTAGAGGGTGAGGTTCTGGCATTGAATGACAGTAAGAACAAATAATATTCTCAGTCTCCTGCAATAATTTTTGGCATTGAATGACAGTAAGAACAAATAATATTCTCACTCTCCTGCAATAATTACCAAAATTAGTACTAATTTGTTACAAGTTCATTGAAATTTAAAGTAAATAACGAAAGTACTAAACTTACCGTTCTACCAATGAAAGCAGACCTATGCTCATTTTGCTTCCACAACAACATTTTTGATATTTGGTTAATGAAAATTGAACCAAAAAAAGAATTTCTTACTATCAAGGTGAATCAGAAGCAGTACAGGAAAGGAGTAAAGGAGACAAACTCAGCTGAAATCGCATAAAAAAATGAAGGGGAGAGGGCCTATTTATAGAAAAACTTGCGTTTTTACAGTTTACCCAGAACGGGCCGTTCCAAAACCAGAACGGCCCGTTCCAAAGCACAAACCCATTCGTTAAAACAGCTCCTGGAACGGGCTGTTCCAGGAGTAAAAAAATGTGTAAATTTGTATTTTGGAACGGGTTGTTCTAAAACAAGAACGGCCCGTTCCAGGTTAAAAAAATTGACTAAAAAATTTCTTTAAAACGGGTCGTTTCATGGGTCTATTTCAACGTTAATTCTTAACGCTGGAACGGCCCGTTCTTGGCCCGTTTCACTTTCAAAAATGTCACTCTGTGCCTTTAAGCAGAACGTCCCGTTCTGCTTTCGGAACGGGCCGTTCCGCTTCCAACATCTGCCCACGTTTCCCTGCAAACACGAAAAAAAAATATAAAACCAACTCAGAATTCGGTTCCCGGGGAACCGAATTCTGAGTTGAAAAACGGGGAACCGAATTCTGAGTTGAAAAAACAAAAAAAAAATACACTTTGATGCTCAGAATTCGGTTCCCTGGAAACCGAATTCTGAGCTTGAACAGTGAATGGTTCTAACTTGGTAAATAAACCTGCATAATTGTTAATTGAGTAATTTAAAAAAAAAAAATAATATTTACGTAAAAAATTCCAATGTTTTAAGCATAAAATTGAAAAAAAAAAACTAAAACTAATCTAAAGTGTGTGAATGTTCTAACCTATAAGATTTGGGCATACTAATAAAGCGAGAGTGCACGAGTGATAGAATGGTAAAGACACACTCTCTCTCTCTCACACACACACACATAGAGATGATGACTTAGCTTATCCTTAACTTCCTTTTCCATCTCCCCTTACTCAAACATGGCTCTCTCCTTCTCTCTCCTTTCCCCATTCCCCTCTCCCTCCATTCTCGCTCTTCCCACCACTCCTGGTAATAACCACCCCTTCACTCTCCCAACATTTCTCTTTTTCTCATTTTCTCATTTTTCTCCCTCTCTTTCAGCTTCAACACTGCACCTTTCTCTGCCCTCCAAACCCTTCACCGGAGTTCGCCTCTCCGCACCCCACAGGAACAAACACTCGCTCATTGTCTCCGCCGCCGCCGCCGAGGGTGAGGCTGAGGCTTCCAGCGCGGCGGAGGAGGGGCTTCCTCCGTCGGTGGATAAGCTTCCGCTCGAGTCCAAGGTGAAGGAGAGGGAGGAGCAGAGGGCGAGGATGAAGCTCGCGAAGAAGATAAGGCTGAGAAGGAAAAGGCTTCTTCGGAAGCGCAGGTTGAGGAAGAAGGGTCGATGGCCACCTTCTAAGATGAAGAAGTTGAAGAACGTTTGATATCAATGTGCTTTTTGCAGGTTTATTATCTCTATTCTCCTTCTTCTTTATTATTCTCAATTTTCAATTCAATGTGTATTCTCTAATTTTACAATTTTCTTCATCAAATCAACGATGCTTGCTTGCTTTATGTACGCTCTTGTCCCCAATTTCGTGGTTTAGGGTATTTTTCATTTGGAATCCTTGAAGCTTAGAAGCTGATTTCATAAACCAACACTTTTGGGAGAGAAAAAAAAAAAAAAAGATTAATAAGCTAGTTTAGCTTATGGGCAAGTGAGAAAAATAAGAAAAATTTACTTATCCGAATAGAATTTTAATATGTGTTATGGTCGGTGATATTTGGTGGGTTTTGAACAGAACAAAGAACTGGATGATCAAATGGTACCCTTTATGAATCCTATTTCGCAGTGTTTAGATGGCTTGGGAATTTCTTCTCAACCTTATTTGAAGGTTAAGGAATGAAAACAAATCAGTAAAGTGCAAATTCTGTCTGTTAGGTACTTAATTTAGAAGCAAGTTAATGGAACGAATTTTGATGGTAGTGTGGATGATTTGGATATCAATTGGGTTCGAAAAACATACATTCGACGCTAACTCAATACTCATCTTCTAGAATGTTTGGTTTAGTGTTGTGGAAGAGAAATTCGCGTCAATTGGGAAGCTGGACATTGTAGCTTTTCACGTGAATTTTTGGGTATACTTGTGATTAAGAATGAGTTTGGATATGAATTAACGTGAATTCATAAAATTGATTTTAAGTAAAAGTGAGTAAAAAATAACGCAATTTTCGTTTGAACCAAGAAGAAACAAACATGCTTTTCATCTCAATGTATGTATACAAGTGTAAAACTAACATATTATTGGGGTGTATTTGTGTCGATCTCACCTTCCATGGCACACTTACACTCTCACATGTCATTGGCATTCGATGTGAGCAAATGCAAATTCAAAGACAGGGTTTTGTCATTCCCAAATGTATTCTTTATCCTAATTTCTGGAGCGAATCTAAGCAGAACTGAATTCTTGTTAGCTCATTTCATTTGGGCTGGTTGACGAGTTTATCGTTAAATGATACTCTTGCCATTTTGGACCTTTTCAATAAATAACTTGATTATGGGCTTTTTGAATAAATGTTTATTAAATAAGTTGTTTTTATAAATGAAAATGCATTAGGATAAATATTTTCCATATAAGCCAAGTTATTTTTATAAACTATTGTAGAAAACTTATTAAAAAAGTTCACGGACATATAAATTTTTTTCATGAACTCTAAACGTTGCTCTCAATCTATTGCAGTCTGGAATCAACTCTACCCTAGCATGGACATCAACCAAATTTACTAGCTAATGCATAAGGCATCTCCTTTGTTAGAGATCGTTAGTTTGCTATTTCTACTTTTCTTATTGATAAAAAAAACTCGATTACTTACACATGATTGTTATTAAATAAGTCTAAAGTTTTAAATAAACTTTTCTAGATATACCCTTTGTCCTTTAAGTGACTAACATATTAGTTTATGGTTGGTTACATGTTTGAATATTGTAATCTCAAACATAGTGCTAACATGTTTGACAATTTTTTTCCCATTCCTTTGAGTGAATTATAAGAAAACAATAGTTAGAAGGTGGTGGGTTCTTTTATTTTTATTTTTTTCCCCTTTCTTTTAAAGTTGGTTTGGAAAATTAAGTTTAATTCAAGTTAATTTTTTAACTATAATTCAAACGCACACAGACAGATGCATTATGTTGCAAAGCATCTAAAAAAGATTGACGTTGCTTCCATTAAACCTAAAATTATTGCCCTTTTCACAGCCAAATGGCTGATTACAACACCTGATGGACTTCCAAACATCAACATAAAGCCAAAGTTTTTCACCGGTTTGTAGCTTCCCTTAATAGTTTGAGGAAAACTGAATAGAGTATTTGAGTTCACAATTTTCATAACTTCAGGAACTAGTAGAAGAGTACATGTTTCACGTTTGTTTCTGCCATTTTGTCATCATCTTCATGCTCGGCACATACTACTCTATCACGGAGGGTTTTTTTTTTTTTTTTTTTTCTTTTTTTTTTACAAGTGTATCACGAAGCAATTAAGATAGTGTTTTGAATCAAAATTCGGTAGTTGCCAATTGGCAATACAGGGCAATGCATTCTAAAGACAAATACGCAAGGCCCTTATCACGGGGGGTTTTTTTTTTTTTTTTCTTTTTTTTTTTCAAGTGTATCACGAAGCAATTAAGATAGTGTTTTGAATCAAAATTCGGTAGTTGCCAATTGGCAATACAGGGCAATGCATTCTAAAGACAAATACGCAAGGCACATTTCGAGTCATCGTATGATTGAGTGAAAGGTTTACAAAATTAAATTTATAAAATTCTTTATAGTTAAAATTTATTTTGAAGTAAAATACTTTGTTTTGATTTTTATTCTTAAACTAAGTTAACACTAAAATTATCCAAAATTACTTTAATTCAAAGTCAATTTCTTTTAACATAAGACTAAATAGTAAATACTAACTTAAAATCACGTTAGTTAATATTTTATCTTCTAGAATTATCCAAGGTAAATCTAAATATTTAGTTCACAACCAAATGGCCGGGTTCAAGTTCACAACATCTAATTATACTTGAAGTCCAAAAACGAAAACCAGTTAACTTTATGTTGGTTCCTAGCACCCCTTTTCCCATTGTCATCCTACTGTTTTCCTGGTTTAAGATACGTCTCTAATTTATAAATGGGCCAGTGGGGAAAGTACTCAAACTAAATAGGATTTCTGTACAGAAAAATTGTTTTTATAAAGCCCCTCATAAGTACAAATTTTGGGGAGACCCTCTCTACGGTCCCACAATATATACATCATACCCCCGTCATAAAATTAAGAACATTTTGCACTAAAAGATGCAAGAGCTTCATGAAAACTGCAATCCTAAATGACTAGAACCCAGTAAAAGCTGACGGGGTGGAGCATTTCCTTTTCTTTCTACTTATTATTTACCAACACTAGTTAGCAGAGTATCAAATGTTTTGGCTCTCCAATGTTGTTACGAGCGATAATGCATCTCACCATTGTCCAATCTTTATCTCAAACCAATGTATCACCTCTAAGGATATTAAATTTGCAGAGCGGGCAGGTTGCTTTCGATCGTAGCCAACGGCTGATGCATCCGCAATGAAAATGGTGGGTACAGGGAAGGCGATACAGTTCTGCTCCATCAGCATATGGACATAGGCATATACAGCATTCCTACACAACATTATCACAAGAAGTTCAATAATTATCTTTCACCAATTTCATCATGCATTTCAACTGTATGCAAAGCAACAAAGAATCAGACTATTTTTCACGTTGTAACAAGCTATATCCATCGAGAATTCGAGACCCTCCCACCCACTCACAACCACTTTGCTCCATGTCTAATCAGAGTTTCAAGACACTCTATCAAGGACCTTAAACGGTAACCATGGAAAAAAATCCCCCATCAAAAACATGTAACTGCCTCCTTATTATGGGTTATAAATCCAGTATTATTAGCCTATCACTGGAATAAAGTCCGTATTCAGTGTTAAACAAAGATAAAATCCCTAGACAAATATAATGTTAAGGTGGTTTTGGTGGGTGGGGGCAGGAATAAAAATGGTAGTTGAGCTAATTTGTAAGAGAACCATCCAATTCAAAGGCTTAAAACCTTAAACACTTGAATCAATATTAAAGAATGCATATTGATATTTGACAACAATCCCTGTGAGATGTGATGAAGCTCAGAAACTTAGAGCAAAATTCCAGTTTCCGTTCAAAAACTTGTGTGCATGAATACATACGATGCACTGGAAATGAGTGATTAAAGGATAGATCAGAATAACATAAAATAACAAGGCAGTTAAGGGAACAAAATTTCACATGGCAAACATCACTTACTAGGAACGAACAACAAAATGATATGAGAACACAGTCAATACTCACAGAATCATCTGGATGGAGAGAAAGTTCACTCATATGGCTTCCATTGCATGAATCTACTTTTGCTTTATTAACAAGTTGCTTCTTGTTGTCATCGACCATCAACAATAAATTTGACTGACTAAACCTATACTTTGGAAGTAATCTTATATCTTCTTCTGATGCCCCTTCTCTTATTCTCATAGCATAAGCTAGTGCTATTACTGGGATGATGCAGAAGAGCGCAAAGAAAACTATACATGCCATCCCAATGCAAAAGATTATAAAAAATACGTCAAAGGCTAGAAAGACCACTGTTAACCTGCACAAATGTGATAAACACATTATTGAGCATCCCATACACCCAATAAATTATTGGAAAACATAACACTGAAGAACTATGTTAGAAGATGAAGTAAACAGGTATGAATTAGTTATATACTAATAAATTATATTACTTATTCTTGGCTTCTTGCTGCAGCTGAGCATTTTTGGCAAAGTCTGTAGCAACAGGCTCAATGAGATGCCTAATCCCAAAACGGAGCGAAGCATACAGGTTGAACATGTACAGGTCTAGTTGTAATAGTCGTAGTAACTAAAACTCCATAAGAGCCTACATTTTGTTTAACATTTATCTCCGACAAGAAATGGGAGGCTTTTCCAGTTAGAAGCATATGCACCATGTCATGGAAAAGAACAAAGCATTAAGAAGCTGCAATGAGCAGTAATTCAAAGGCCAAGCAGGCTTCCGTGGCCTATGCTAAATTCTATGATATTCCCTCTCTTCTCTACATCACTCATGCAATTTTCTCTTTACCCCCTGTGATTGCCAAATCCACTGCCCCATTTATCATATGCCACCAATCCATGCTATTATATTCTTCCCTCTCCTACGAATTCCTCCACACCCTTGCTCACGTCCTTTCACTGATCACATTCCTACATCCATTTCCCCTGGTACAATCTTTTTTCATTCTCTCGTAGACATGCAGGGCATTATCATTGTTAGGCTTGCCCTGCTTCACTCCCTCCCTTTCCTTCTATACATGTGAGTCATCATATACTAAATTACAGATTTATCCTAATTGAAATAACACATCAAGATAATTAATCATAGGCAGACATATAACAACTACATTTTCTCTTCATTTGATTCCCCACATTTATATAATTATATGACATCCAATCGAAGGCTGAACAATCTAAAATTATCCCTGTTCAAAAATATTAAGTATAATCTTTGACTCTATATAATTCTGCTCATTGAACAGGAATCAGGTAAGGAGGATCGTTTGAGAAGTAAATTTTTTTTATCCCCTTTATATATAGTATAAATTATTATGATAATGTATTTGCATTTATTTAATCTTTTTATTTTTCTATTCTCCACTTTTTTGTTATTTTTTTTTAACAAAACAATTTTTCAAAACAAATGAATTTAGCAATAAAAACTGTAATACTTATTAAACATAAATATCTTAAAAAATACCTATTTCATACATTATACCAAGAATAATAATATATAAATCAATAACAACCCGTGCATATGCACCGGTTACTTACTAGTTTCACATAAAAAAGGCTACCCAGTTGTAAAATTCTTGACTACTTTTATCATGTTTTCTTGGCTTACATAATAACTGTTGTTATCTAATCCCCATCCCACCTGAAAAAAGAAAAATTGAAAAGCAAAATAAATCCAAATTAATGTTGTTACTCACCAGTAGAGACGTGGAGAATCATCCAAAAGTGCTTGGCCACCCACAACAATCCAATAAAATCCAAATACCCACCAAAGAGATGATGCCAGAGTGTTGATAGGCTCCAGCTTCTTCACAATGCTAAAAACAAAATAAATAGAGTGCAAAGAGAGTTCAATATCTTCCAACGTAAAGGAACAGAAGGGAAAACACACATGACAAAAGAAGACCATGTCATTCTAAAGACAGTGAAAAGGAGGTAAGAAATAATAATCTTCTAAGTAACAAATAATCTGCAAGAGCTATTCACATTTCCCTAATTGCTAGTTATAACAAAACACATTTAGTTGAACAAATCTCAGTATCCAATTCAGAACCAGCCTCAAGTAAAACAAGCACTTTTCTTCTCATCCATTCACCAAAATGTCACAATGGTAGTTGAAAAGCAGGTAAACTTTACAGCCAGTCAGCTCCTCCAAATGCACAACGATAATCGATGACCAATTTTAAAAGCAATAACTATCGGAAATAAAATAACTGTGTCTGTATTAGCTTTGTTGACACAAGTCAGCATATTATCCCTAATTTCAATTTCACTAATTTCTAGCAATGAATGATCATCGCACCACCAATTCAACACCATCACAAGTCTAATTGCTAACAACACCACACAGCATAGTTCACAAATACACACACAATGTTAATTAAAGAAGACACCAAACACAGAGGAAAATAAAGAATAACAGAGATAAAAAAAAAATCGATTATTGAGAGAGGAAATGAGAAAGAAGAGTTACCTATAGGTAGAGTGAGAGAAGGAGTCGCGAATTGCGGTTCGAAACTCGAAGAAGACGAAGGCCATGTGAAGGACGCACTCGAAGGCGTAGCCGGAGAGCCAGAGTCTGAGCGGCGTGGAGGGACGCTCGGCGAGCGTGGAAAGGAGGACGGCGGCGG